AGCAGGAGTTTCCCGAAAGCAGATTTAGATATCTATAACTAGAAAGAGCAAGCCCCCTGTTTGGAGGGTTCTGCATCCAGAATGCTATTTCTGTTGCAAGGAGCTGTCCTTTCAGCTCTTGGACTTAATTTGTTGTTCATTCTGACAACACCAAACATTCTCCAATTCTCAGTCAGTGTTATTGGTAGAATCACTGTTACCAGTTTTTGCATAGATGCCATGGAAGGAGTCTAAAAGCGTCTCCAAAAACATGGTATGTGTATCTGTAAAACATTTGGCCATGGCTTCTGCTTCACTCACCCTTTCAGCATATTCTATAACAAGGACTATGTTTACTGATTTACAAATAATCCTTGGCAGTAACTAATGCACTGTAGATTGTACTGTATTAAACCCCATGATATTTAAAAATATTAAGCTACTGAAGAGGTCCTTCAGCTGGAATCCTCCAGCACTTAACATGTCTAATATCACAGCTAAATTGTCCTCTAAATCTTCCAGAAGTTAATTTTTTGTTCTGCTCGTCAACAATTTCACTGACGTACGATACGAAAAAGTTGAATTTTCATAGATATGAAAACGCCTGTACTAACATAAATCTGTACTAGACCAGTATTTATTATTACGTGCATAGAGACTAATGGAGTCTTAAAGCATAGTTAAGTTCTTTCACTTGGTTTCAGCTCCACAATAAATTTGACAAAAGCATCCTTTTTGCTACTGCTGTCTTAACATTACTATATTTATGAAGTCTTTCCAGTGTATTGCCTAAAGACTTCATGCCCTGGTCACAGACTCTGGTTCTTTTTCATTAGGGTATGTAACTAAAGGCTTCATAAGGTTTTTGAAGACAAAGTAGTAAAGGAATGATGAAGATGGAAGAATCCTAAGAGCCTATAATCAGTGACAAAAAACACACTGCCTAGGCTACTTCCAGGGCTATCAAAGAAGAATGATCAGCCTATAGTCTGGGCACAACACCCTGCAAACAAGTCAACAGCAACGGCTTTTCAGTTCACCTGGAGAGACCAGGTACTCCAAGCCACCTACTAGAAAGACCACAGGATCTGGGTGTCAGCTTCTGGTAGGGAGATACGTTTGGACCAGCTGCCATAGATCTGTTTTTGCATGTGTGAGTGTGTGTGTGTGTGTGTGTGTGTGTGTGTGCTCATGCACACAGGAGAGTTTGTACCTGGAAGAACAGAGGGTCCAGGGGCCGGCTACTGGATAACACTGACTTTATAAAGCCAATTACTGGAGGGATCCATAGCACGTGTGTTTCTGTGGCCTTTTGTGGGAGGGACGGGCCAAATACCAGCAGCTGGGGAGGTATCAGGATCCACTGGCCAACTACTTGATAGAGTGTCTAAACCCTGCTACTGAAAGGATTCATATTGTGTAAATGCATATATTTTCCACTGCTTGTTTGCATGAGTGCTGTATTTTCTGTCTCTGCTGGTCCATGTGGCTGATTGTAGATACAGGTATTGTGTGTATATGTGCCTAACAACAGTACACACTCAGACTTGCTAGCTGGGGACATGAGTATGTGGCAGTTTCCCTTGTCAAGCTACTGGATGCAGCGATTCCTACCATTCTTCATCCATAGCCACCATGTATTGTCATTTTGGACTAATGCACAAAGGTCAAGAGGAAAAATCTTAAAGTGCTTTGTCAGCCTCAGAAAAGCATTAAAATGGTACAGTGGGCTGCAGACTGTTCCGAAGTCATGTCTTGCACAGAAAGTATGTAAATATTTCCCATCAGGGAAGACAAAGAGGAAAGGTCGACAGTGAGCTAAGCAACTGGAACAAAAGTACAACTCCAGACAGATGAGGAAATACCTAGGTATCAGGGTGCTCTCTCTACAGAGAGATCCATAGCTCTGATTTCCATATGAATGTGTATTGTAGAGACAGTAACCACCAGGAGAGATCTGAACTAAAGCACAAAAAAACCCTGCACATGGTTTCTACTGTTTTCAAAGCAGAAGAATATTGAAAATGGGCATCTTGAAGGACAGAACAAGAAAAATAGCACAAAGGAATTAAAAGCCATAGGGCAGGGCAGAAGAGAAATTTTCTTGGGCTATAAAAAAAAATACCAGTTGCTCCACAACAGGCTTAGTTTTCCTGGGGAAGTTTTCAGTTAGATACCTTATCTAAAATTACAAAGTCAGAAAAAATACTGGTTTAAGAGGGAATTGGGGACATGAGCTGATGCCTGATGGCACAATAGGGAAGAAATTCCAGCAGTTTGGACACACCTGCCAGAAGCAATGTGTGGTCAAGCAAGCACTTGCAACCAGCTCATTGGCCTTAGTTCAGTTCCTTACACTGAAATGAACCAAGCACACTCTTGTGGGCTCCGCAGCCTCTGATCAGCTGTCCTTAACTCTGCTATAGTGTCACCCTGACTTCTCTGTGGCATGGAAAATATCAGGCCTTTGGTGGCAAGACCCAAATTATCCTTTCTAATTCACTATTGTAAAGATTTTTAAATAACATTTTGTAGCCCATCAAAAATACAAACACACAGGTAAGTGACCAGGTACTTTAACAAAGATCAAAGAAAGAAAAAAAAAAGATTTTTATCTTAATTTTATTAAAAAATTAGTAGTCCAGCATCCTGTTCTAATGCAATCTTGTACAATTTTCATCTGCTCAGCTGCACTCCCTGCTCTGTCTTAATATAATTCAGTCAGGTTGTGATACTTACTGACAGTATTAAAGGTCTCAATACTTGTGGGGGGTTTTACTGGGAAATAGCAATCCCAATAGCAAAAAAAAAGCTCTATTTAAAATGTAAAAAGTTTTTCTAATCACATCTCCAGTGCAGAAAAGCCAAGCCAGGATTGTTATGACATTTCTGCATAAAAAAATTGTTAGTAAAAAAATATAGTTGGTGATGAAAAAAAGAAGGGGAAAGAAAACCCAACCAAACCAGATTCTGACTTATTATTTGCAATTTTTAATCACCATATATTGCCAAAGTAGGTGAAGGCTGATTCACTGAGCAGTGCGTAAAACACAGTTTGTCAGTAATTAAGACATACCACTTATTCTTATTTTTACAGTAAAATTCATTCTGCTTGTATTAAAAAAAAAAAAACCGCATTGTAAGATTACACAGCTATGAAAACAATATTTAAGGTTGCTAATTGCTTGTCAACTAACACATCAGAAAGTAGCAGCCTTTCCAATTAACACACATTTCAACAACAGAAAGGAACTTCAGTACTTTCCAAAATTTAGGAAAGACCCAGAAATCTTACGTGTATGTCTGTTAGCATCTAACAGGTATGTTTAAGTGCTCATAAAACTGTATATTTATATTATAAATAATAATAGACCAGCTTCATGTTTGGCTTAACTAGACACAGAGATGTTGACCAATCTGTCTAGTCATGGTAATAAAATACTTAGAGCTTCCCAGATTAGGGACTATTTCCAACTTTACTACAAATTCCCAAACTTCATTTAATAGCTAATATTCATTCATATAAAGGTAATTCAGGCAATTGCAGAAGTGCACAAGATGATAAAATTCCTCCTCCTTCCTACAGCACTCTCTTTATTTAGAGCTATTATTTGTACAAGAAAATAGCTGTATTCAGCTGAGAATGCTGGGACAAGGGCAAGACCTCGAACTACAGCATCATAGACCGCATGGGTATATGATCACAGGAATATAAGAAATGACACATTGAAAAGAAGCCATTAAAATGAGCCCATTCACTTACTCATGAACAAGCCACAACACGTATTATTGGCAGTGAAACACGTTATTTTTTAAGCAATTCCTGCTTTTCAAATTCTTTGAAAATGGCAAATGCTGTCTGTTATGGTGGGCGGTTACATGGCACATTGCTCTTAATATTGATTTTGGTCCCTGGCAGCTGCTAATATAACTAACCAGTTCAGCAGCAACTGCAGGTTCTACCACTGAATATATTATAATCAGTTTTGTAAGTGTTTGAGCTTAAAACTCACTCAGCTATAGATTAGTAAATCATTATCACTCCAGTCATCCTTGAAAGCAAATGCAAATCTACTGGTGAGTATGCCTGTATTTACAGAGCAGACCTACTGACAAAGAAGCTGCCATCTGCCATACACACATGAGAATACGAGCTGAAATTACAGTAATTTCTATAATAGTTAAAATATAATTAATACATCTTATGTCCAGAGAATGCCATGAAATATTTTTTCCCCACCTACTTTCTGTATGAAAAGTAATTTACAGCATTCCAAAGTGCTCTCCAGAAACTGCACACAGTAGCCACACACAAGACAAAAGAAGAGCCAACTCCTGAACTGTATCAGCCCACAGAGAGTTCTGGTTTTCTTTCTGCAAACTTGTCGAGTAATGCCAGTATACTTCTTAGTATGGCCCTTCAGCCTCCTCGCTTGGGGCAGTGAGGGGGCAGAAAGGAGCTTTACCTTTGGAACATTTTCAATATGTTTAGAGCTGGCACTTGGGGGAACAGGAGTGGGATGGAGTGGGGGGATAAAAGGTAAGCTTATGCCAACAGGGAAACTGAAAACTCCTTACGGAAGAAGGTCTATTTGAGGCTCAAGAATCACAAAAGAATGCACAAGGATAGCTGCTCCCAGAGTGGCTATAGCTAAGTGATGAAGTAACTCCCTTCTTCTTTATTGCCTTCGGCAAACAGCCTATAGTCCATTTCAGCTGCTCAGGTAAACATCAGAAAACTCCAAGAGAAAATCCATTTTATCCCAGTCTGGTTTATTTGAGTTTGCTGGGAAGAGTTTACTGCAGTATTTCTGTTTTCCTTGTTCCTGCTG